AAACTAGTTGACTGAACTATGACCTCAGAAAATTTAAGATTATGTATATATTATTTTTGTCTCATCCTTCCCAAAATATTCTGTAACTGGTGAGTCACCTGTCCTCTTGTTCAGGGAGGCCGTGGAGACCCCACCAGATGGACTTGAACCAATGTCTAGTCTACAAAGAGGATGTTCAACTCAAAGGAAACATTTCCTCCATGTTTCCAAATGAAGCCAGCCACAGTCGAGCAGGACCTTTGACTTACCTTTACATAGAAGGAACTGGTAAAAGAAAGGACCCAGGAGCTCCTCCCAAGCCCTTGTGACCCCCGAGGAACACTTTGATAGCTGTTAGACTCAAATGACCTTAGGAGTAATAATAAATTGGTTTATTTGGGCCAACTATCTTGTCTTAAAAACCAAAAGGAAAGTATAACCAAAGAGTAAAGTCATCAGTATATTTCTTTAAGAGTTCTAGGGTTTACACTTCCCAGACATTAGGCTTAAGTCCATATAAAATGGTATTTAGACAATATTTATTTCTCATTAATTATTTTTGTGTGTATGCAGAAAATACTGCTCAGATGTAAGACTTCAAATCTTTGTCTGCAATACTGTAGTGCCCACCTGTAGCTAGGGGAGACAACCTGCTATTGTTCTAAAATGATGGATAAATGTGTTTTCTCCCCCTATCTAGAAGCCTTTGAGAGGGAACTGACACTGATTCTATCCACTCAATAGCTATCAAAATACCTGAAAGCAAATCCTGAATCCATAGCTCTCGAGTCCAGCCTTGGCAGACAAGAGAAAAATGAGGAGGAACCCAACAGAGGGATGTTTTTGGAAGCCTTTATCAAGAAATTCCAATGAACTCTAATATGAACATTTGAAATTTGCCCTGTTCTGACTTTTTTTCTGGTTCCCTGTCTGAACTTGTAATGCTAACTACTCTTGCCTTTACTTCTCCTTCACATCTTCTATTCACCAGTCAAGGGCTTTCTTTCCTCCCTGCAGATAAGAGTTAGGCAATTTGGGAGTCTTTTAGATAGACTCACTGAAGGGGTACTCCAGTTGTCTCAACCTGTGTCCCTGTTCAGCATGGAAGAAGCCAGAGTGGTCTGCATCCTGATCCCTATTAGCAATTTGGGTAACCTCTTCAGAGGATGGTGTGATAAGAATAGGAAGTAGGAATTGGCTAGGCCGTTAGGGCAAAAAGACACCAAAGAAAAGTAGCCAGTCTCTTGGCTAAAAGTCAAAATGTCCTTGGGCCTCTTAGCAACATACTCTGTTCCAAAGGCCAAAAATGTCAAAAGTATTTGGGAGCTTGTATCTAATCCCTAAAAGAGTTTAGGGTTACCTCCTCAGAGAGGGGAATGTTAGCAAAGCAAAAAGCCCTATAAAAAAAAAAAAGAAAGAGTACATGAAGTTGTCAGAAAAAAGTGATGGGGGGATATGGGAGGAGTTGGAGGAGAGGGAGTGGGCATGGATTTGATCAAATCACCTTATATGCATGTATAAAATTCTCAGTAACATTTTTTTTTAAGTTGAAAAAAAAGAAATTGAGTGTCCCTGAGTTTGGGGTGTATATGTTTAGAATTAGAATGTCCTTGTGGTGGGTTGTTCCCTTGATCAGAATGAAGTGATCTTTATTGCTTCTAATTAGTTGTGGCTTGAAGTCTGTTTTTTCAGATAGTAGAATAATTATGCCTGCTTGTTTCTGGTCCCATGTGTTTAGGATACTTTTTTCCATCCTTTCACTCTAAGGTAGTGTTTATTCTTTAAGGTGCGATGTGTTTCTTATAGACAGAAAAGAAATAGATCTTATTTTATAATCCAGTTGGCTAGCCTGTGTCTTTTATTTGTGAAATTACAATATTAAATATTGAGAGTTAGTACTGAAAGATGTGTTTGAATTGCTGTCATTTGGTTGATTTTGTGGTTTTTGTTGTCTTAGCTCTACTTTGCATAACTGCTATTCAAGCATAATTTATTCCCCTCTCTGCTGTACCCTGGAATTTACTTATCTTTCATTCTGAAACATTCTTCCATTATTTTCTGTAGAGATAGTTTAGTGGTCATAAATTCATAATTTCCTTTAGCCTGTTTATATCATGGAA